ATCATAAATTCCTAACTGGGCATGTCATGGTGGGTAGTCACACCCTAGGCCTATAACTTGCTTAGTAAATGGTTTTTAAGCAGGCCCTATCCATTTTCCTTATGCATCTAGAAAACATGCCTTTGAAATGCTAGAAGTAATCCTCTTTTTCAGACCCCTCAAAGGCATAACTACTCTCAGAGGAGCACATAATCTTGTTACCTCTCCTGTACCTTGCTTTCTTCCACGTTCATGTAATCTTCCTTACACTCCCTCCTTAATTCTAAATGTGTAAAAGAAACTGCAAAACTGTCATTCTCTGGAGCATTTGAGATCTTGCTTCCTGGCATGTGGTCAGTTTGGCTCAAATAAACTCTTACAAAAATTCTCTACAGATTTGAGCATTTCTTACATCAACACATAATTGATAAGATATAATGCATATTTAAATAGCTGTATGTCTATATAATTTACAAGTACATTAATATACATTTATTGAAAGTATATGCTCAAAATATTTTTACTTTGGTGTGCATAATTTTAGATATTGGCAGTCATGGCCGTAGAGAAGCAGTGAATACAAATAATAGTACCAGCTACTACTTATTGACTGCTTACTGTGTGCCAGGTACTGTTTAATCACTTTATTCATCTTAACTCACTTAATCCTCCCAACAACTCTATGAAGTAGGTATACCATGTTAAAGACCATGTTATTCCCAGTTGCAGATGAGATCACTGGGGAATCAAGAGGCTGGGTAATTTATCTAGAGACACAGAACTCCTAAATAGGAAAATTTGAACTCAGGCTAGTGGGATCCAGCCTCTGTGCTCTTAACCATCATGGTACACTGCCTCCGACAGTTATTAAACAGTGTGAGGAAGGACGGGCTTAATGCTCTGAGAGTGATCTGTGGGAGCTCATTCTCCTCACTCCTGTGCTAAGAGGCTCATTCCTTTGGACACGTTCCCATATTGAACCTCTTCTGCATGCCAGATATTGAAGCCACAAAGTTAAATTAGATATGGGTTCTGCTCTCAAGAAGCTAAAGTCAATGTAGAAGATAAGACAATTATATAGCTACAGTACAAGTAGAAAGTGAGAAAGACCAATAAATAAATAAATAAATAAATAAAATAAATACTTTTTGGAAAAGCTATAGGAATTTGGAAGAGGCATTTCTTCCAGAGGAATTGGGGGAAACTTCATGGAGTAAGCCATATTTGAGCTGCCTTGAAGCTAATGTTCATTTCCCAAATCATCATATAATTCGGTAACAAATTTCATCATGAAAGTATCCTTGGAAATACTTGTTTGGGGCCTTGGCCTTACCCTTTTCCCCTTTCAGAGTCCTCTCCATATTTAACAGCAGCATGGGCCTCCAAGGTTGGGCCTTAGCTAAGCTTTTCTCAGCCTGATCTCCCTGGCATGGAGGGTGGAAATGTATCTCACCAGGAGGGGAGTTCTTAGGCTCTACATAGTTTGGTTTTGGTGGTAAGGCCCAGATTTCCCAACTCAGTGTTCTCAGGCCACAAGCACTCCTCCTGATCTGAGACTTGGGAACAAGTCTCTCTCTGGTGAAGTGTAGCTCTACAGCTTATGGAATATACAAGGTACAAGAAACTACAGTTCTGAATTTAGTTTATTAAAATTGTGCAAGTTGTATTTCAGCCTTTGAGGCAGCCAAAAAGTCTTCATTATAGAAAATGTTTCTTGACAGTACAAGATTTTTCCATAATTATCAATAGAAAAAACACACCCACAGAACTGTGGTAGAATTAATCAAACCTAACAAGGCAAATAGTCAAGAGGTGGTGTCATGAGTATGCAACATGAGGTGAACTTTTCTAAGTCTGGGAGCTGCCACCTGTTGAGATGGTTTAAATCGGGATTTGGGCAGAAGCACATTATTGTGACAGTCAATAAATGTGAGTGAAAGTCTCCTCTACATACCCAATTTAGGAATGCAGCCATTAAGCCCCACACTGACTCAGCTCAGAAGATACTGAGAAGAAATGATTTACCTCACTAAGAGATTTGGGAGTTATCTTCAAGATTGTTAACCCACAGCAAAATTGGTTGATATGTGTGATGGGAGCCAAACTTGATGTTTTTTGCTTTTTCTCTCCATCTTCATCATAAAGGATTTTGACTTGGAAGAAGCTTAGCCTACCACTTTCCAAGAAAAGAATATCAACAGCACTGATACATGTATGATTCTACACCACAGGAGCCAGAAAAGTATATAATAATCTTATCTGTAGGGGAGAAATGGAATTTCATGAGTGATTATGTTGAAACATGCTTGTAGACTTAAGTACTTACTATGACTTACATGTCTCTAAAGGAAAATATGAATATGAGAGGAAAAGTTCTGACTTACTTCTTGGATCTGTACTGATTTATGCCAAGCAGAAAGCCTTACACCAATCTTTGTGCCTCAGACTTTCCATGGATGAGAATGCTACCATGAATGTATCATAGACATTGTAATCATTTCTTGTTATTGTTTAATTTAAACCTCCAAGAAAGTTCAACTTCAAAGAATATTAGAGCTTTTAAAAAAAAAGCTTAAAGCATAACTGATTCAGGCAGTCAAGACATTGAGAGGGAGATGCTACCAAGAAGGATTTTCAGACACTAAGAGCCTCGAATCTCCCTTTAAAGCTCATTTCATCTCTTAATAAATTATTCTTAGAGTTTAAATATTCCTTTTTGCTGGTTTATTGAACATTATACATTCTCTGAGTTAAAAACAAAGTTATCCTACTCCTTGAAAGATAAGAATTCCTGTATTCTTAAAAGAGAATTCTTTATATCTTTGAAGACACTTATAAAGGATCGATCAACCAACTAGTATTTATTGAGAATCTACTGTATTCTAAATATGATGCTTGTGAAAAGGGTATTAAAAAAACTAGCAGAGTTCCAGACAGTACCTCTGAGAGACTTATTGCATTCTTATTGAAAATCTTATCTCCGTCCGAACTGAGATTCAAGACCACTAATTCCAATCCTTCAAAGCTAGACTCCCCTCTGCGCACTGTGGGCGTGCCCTCTTATACTTGATTGTCTCCAATAACACGGAACTCACTATTTCCTGACAAGGTGCTCCTTCCAATTTTTACGTCACTTAGTTGCTAAAGACAGATTTCAACACAAAGTTAGCCACAATGCAGGAATCAGTCAAGTACTGTAAGTGTCGAATGAGTTGAAAAAGACAAGTTCTGCATGAGGTCAGAGGAAAAAGGAATCACTGCTGGTTGCTGTGGTCAGGCAAAGATAATGATTTACAGTTAAATAAGTAATATCTTTGAGTTGTCTTCAAAGTACAATACAAACATGCACTTTTATTATTATTGGTGTCATATGCAAATCTCAACAATAGTTAACATTTACTGAGTGTTTACTATGTGTCAAGCACTAACAGTACGCTATATTCCCTCTCAAGTAACACTGTATATAAAATTTTATAGCTAGCTAGATGAGAATCTCCTTTGTGCTAGGAACCATATCAGGTATACATGTATTATTTCATATCATCTGCACAACTGTCCTTTGATAGAGATATTATCATTATTATTTTACTAAAGGAGACAATGTGGCTCAAACAGTTTCAGTAAACCCACACAACAGCAGAGCAAGGCTTTTATCCCCACTCTACCTGTGACCCAGTTCAAGTTTTATCTGCTATGCTTAACTGTCTCTCCTGAAAAATTTCCAATCTTCCTAGGGCTAAAACGAAGGGAAATTGGCATAATCAGTGGGAGGGAAGGAAGCCCACGGGTGGCTGTACCTCCAGAGTCATCCTGATGGCCATGAACCAATCCAACAGCCTAGGTCCTTCTCTTAGTTCTGAGAGGAAATGACATGTAGTCCTGGGAACCCATTTTCATATAGAAATAAGGAATGCCTTACAAACAACCCATTAGGGTTACTAAAACCTAATACTTATAACTACAATTAAGGGTAAACATTTACTGAGGTCTCTAGTTTAATACCCTAAGAATCCGAGCTGTTTCACCTCTAGAGTGATGAGCACATATTGATAGTTGAAATTCTTACAACTTGAGGGAGGGAATTTTCTTCTAAGTACAGTATTAGTATCTTGAACTAGAAACTTGGTTTCCAGTTTCTACTCATCTTGACCTAGTCAGATACTTTAACAGTTACTGTTAGGTTTATTTTGTGGATCATTTTGTTCATGTATAACTCCTGAATTATAAACTTTTGACTGTTATTTCCTTGTGGATTCTAATTATTACTTAGTTCTATTGTTTTTCTTTTTTTTACTGAAAAGTGAGAATGAAAATTAAGAACCACTGAAATAAAGGGAATAAATTCCAATAATTTCCAGGACTTTACTAGTCCTAGAAATTTCAGATGAATATTTTGGCATTTCAAAACAATTCTAGAGTGTACATATTAGTCGGTAGATGCAGAACCCACAGATACAGAGGGCCAACTAAGGGATTTGGGTGTACATGGAGGTCCTGGGACCAATCTCCTGTGGATACTGAGGTATTTTCCCTAATTTAAAGAAGAGGAAAATGAGGCTCAGAAAGATCTATACTAATAGGTGGTGGAAATGGAATTACAACTCAGGTCTGCCTGATTCCAAAGACTGTACTTTCCCATTATACTATCAGCACAGTGTTTGCCATCTAATTCTCACCTCCAGATTTCTTTTCATCCATTCACTTGGCTGAATATAATGCTAACAGATGCTGATTATGCAGGTAAAATTTTATTAGCACTAACTTCAAGAAAACCAAAATCTGTTGTCAAGAATTTGAATACTACTAAGCTGTTAAGCTGCTGTGTGAATATCTTTTTGGGTTTTTTGTTTGTTTGTGGTTTTTTGTGTTTTTTTTTCAACAAGATGTAACACATCTATATTTCAGGGACTGAAATGCATACTAAGTAAACTGCTATGGGTAAGAAGGCTCTAGATGCATATAACATTTGAATAAAGACTAAGGAAAAGAAAAAAAACCTTTGACTTCAGAATTTCTTGCAGGCATTCTGCAAAGGCTCACAGATCTTGGAACACTTGGATGTCTCTTACTGCTCCCAACTATCAGATGAGTTTATTACAACAGTGGCCATTTATTGCCTTAACCTCACATCTCTCAGCATTGCTGGCTGTTCAAAGGTATGTGCAGAAGTCAGATCTCAGAAATGTCAAATTGAAGCACTGTCAAAGAACTCAGGCAGGGTAGCAGTCAGGGGTTGGGCTCACAATAGAACTTATTTTTCTTTGCCATGTGTGAGGTAGTCATTAGACTTTTTTTCTTTCTTTCCCCAAATTGGAAATAGCTTTATGATTTAATTTGTGTTAAAATAGAATTTTCAAAAAGCTAGAAACAATCCTGACACAAATATAAAAATGTGTCAAAGATTTATTTAATTCATTAATGAGAGAACCAACAAAATGGTAAAGCCAGTTACTAGTGCATTTGGTCGAACTGACTACTTACAGGAACTGAAGAAAGAATGTTGAAATGTGATTTTTGAGTTAGATTCAAAATTGGTTAATGACCTATAAGGTAATAAATTCATAACCTTGGACTTATAGTTTCTACCAGACAAAAATAATTTGCATCTCTTCTGGACAAAAATATAACAAGTTATAACATATAACATCACTGAGTTTGGGCCCTAATAGTAAACAGTATGTCAAATAAAGGCATAATTCCTTATAGAATTCCTCAGGTAGGCCTGTTAATGTTCCATTATGACTTCAAGTGTTTGACAATTTTTCTTGACATCTGTTTATAAAAGAAAGATGTATTCATTGTAAAATATTGACTATATATAAAAGCATAAAGAGAGTAAAAATTCACTGTCATACCACCATCCAGACTATTGGTTTTTTATACTTATTCTTGTAGAATTTTTTCTGTGTACAAAGAAATTAGAAAAGTTATAGAAGATTTGTGTTTTGTGGGTTTTTTTTAAAGAATAGAATCATATTTTCCAAAGTACATTGTAACCTACTTTTGTTCTCTTAATATACTATGGACATATCTCTATGTCAAGAAATAGAGATTTGTGCTTCTGGATTAATACGGCAGATTGAATATATACATATAGTTTTGTTCCCAAAAATGCAGAAGAAGGGTGAGGGCCCATGTTGATAGGGAAAACAGGAGAAGAGACAAGAGCAACAAAATTTGGAAGCTTGAAAATAGATGGACTAATTTAGCAGACTAGAGATAGCTTTGAATACTGAGTCAACACAAAGCTGAGGGAAAAAACTGACTTACATCATAGTCTTCAAGCCTGTGAGCACAGTGCACCTGGAGCTCGGTTAAGAAAGTGGCTAAAATAAGGGAGGTGGGTTAAAAGTTCTAGAGAAGTAAATAGATCCTTAAATCTCTCCCCCTACTCCACACCTCTGGTCAACTGCACATACCCACACTCACCAGAAGATTGGAGATCTATTTCCTAGAGCCAGATTTCTCAACCCTGGCATTACTGATATTTTGGATGAGGTAATTTTTTGTAGTGGGTGGTGGTTCTATGTACTGCAGGATGTTTAACAGCACCCTTGCCTTCTACCCACTATATGTATCACCCAGCCCCCCATACCCACAGTCATGACAATAAAAAATGTCTCTAGATATTGCTAAATGTTCTCTGGGGGCCAATCACTCTACTATCTGGTCTGCAGATAGTAAAACCGAGGTTGCTAGTCTGGGAGACACCCTGTATAATAGAGAGCTTGGGTACAAAGTGAGAAAGGGAATTAAGTGACTAAATGCTGAATACAGAGTGACATTCAAGCTCTTTTTCAACACAGCATCCAGAATTTGGCTGCCAGATCTTTCCCTCCAGGCAGAATGGAAGTCTCTTTTCTGGGGACTCTAACTAGCCCAAGATGAAAGACCAAAAAACACTGACATTTGGGGTTTCTGAAGCTTAAAATAAGGAAGCCCCTCCACTGTTAATCATGAGCAGATAATCAAGAATTATTAGACATAAGAGAAAGCCTCTTATGTGGAAGACAGATATCAAAACAAATTGATAGAAAAACTTGGTGGAAGCAAATTACGTAGAGTTAAGAAAACTAAAAAATCTTTTGAAAAAAATTCTCAGAAATTGCAAGCTTAACAGCACTGTTCTCTTCTATTAAATATACCGATGGGCTTCTCTTCGCTAAAGAGAAGCTAGCTAGTCTAAAAATTTGGTTTCTCAGTTGTTTAGTTTGTGTGGTGAGTGGATTAAGAGTGTGATGCTAGAACCTCCTAATTCCTCCATAGCTAAGGAGGAAGAGGCGCTGGGGAAGATATGGTAAATCATGACAAAATTAATCTAGAAAGTTCACAGCAGAACTTTTATTTAATAATGTACCTTTTTCAAATTAGAGAAACCAGGTGTCTTTCTGGTCAGCATCATCTGGTTCTAGAAGTGAGAGGGGTTAAGAAACTCAGCACAGTAACAGCAATGACCACGACCCTCTGCAGCCTGAGCAGTCAGCTCGGGCAGCTACAGAGGAAAGTAGGAGACCGAGAAAAGGAAACTCTCCAGTGAGAACAGGAATTGAGGCAGAGGACTTTTGTTTGTTTCATTTTGTTTTGGTTTTTGATAAGGAGAAACTAAGGGAATTCTTTCTATAAACTGTGCCGTGGTCAGTGCCCAGCCTAGAAACGAAGGAGGATGTTGCACGAATAATATATAATGAAACGAATCGCTCTACATCAAAGATCTAGGGTGAGAAAAAGGAAGGGGAGTGGATTATTTCAGAACCTCAGTGTAAGGGAGACCATGTATGCAGGTCAAATGAGTCTCCTGATTCTGAAAAAGTGCTGACCACAATTTGAGCCAATCTGAATATTCCTCACCCAAAACCACTGGGCTATGGTCCAGTCTAATACATTTCCAGCCTACCTACATTTTTTTTTTTTCATGAGCCACAAAACACTTTAGTGTCTGGCTCATTATTCTAGGCTAGGTTTTCCCAAAGCCCATGGGTTTATCTTGAATGGTCACCTTATCAATCTCCTGGACAGTCAACTCTTGCAACTAGCTTACCTCTCTGGTTAGTAAGCAGTCCTGTGACTTTGTCTTACCCAGCATTAAAATGGGAATAACCTCTGCTGAACAGGACTCAGAGTAGGACTTGTATCTGGGAGTTAAGAATGTAGCCAGTTATCTCTACTTCTAGTTCCCAGCCTCCAAAAGTTCGGACAGCACCACCTCAGTTACTGAATATCTTGAGCTTCTGATCTACAGGAAGTGATGGGCTCCTTTTCAGTTCCCTCAGAATCAATAAAACCTAGCACTCTGAACTGCACCTGTCCTAGACTTTTCTATAACCTCATTTTCTTTCCTTTCCTCTATAATTCTGAGGGCTTTTATTCCCCCCAACGACATCAGATCCTCAGAGACCCACATAGTATGGCAGGAATGTATGAAAGCATTTTTTGTGAGAATCAGTTACAATGTTAAATCTTGATCCTGAGCATGTTCTGGGGAAAGGGCATGCTTAAACAATGACATCTATTTTTCCAAACTTAAAAAGTGTATACATTTCAATTGAATGGTTTTTCTGCATAACTCTCTCAATGTTATGTTAAAAACAAAAGTCAAGTCTCATGGCATGTTTTAGAGTATTCAAACATTTAAAGTAAGAAATTAAATCCAGTTGGACAAAAAACTCCTTTAGAGAGAGTAATCTAGTTGATTCTGAGTCTCAGTTCAACTATAAATACAAAAGCTAGATCCTGAATAGGTGAAATAATCTACTTCTGCAAAACATCTGGACAAACTTTCAAGACTTTGGAACCCTCAGCAGAATTTCTCAGAGTGAGATTCATGTAGTCTCTGTGGCTTCTGCTTTTCTTTCTCCTCCTGTCTGCAAACATTTGTCTCACTTACTTGTCCTTTCCCAGAACCATATTACTTCACATGCAAACCATCAGCAATGTCCAGATCCCTTCTGACAGCAATCTGACCCTGTCTACAGGTTAACTTCAAGGGATATATGTATTTTAGAGCTCTGTAACATGTGATGTTATAAATCTCATTACTGTAGCATTTAATAAGTTACTGATACTGATGTAACAGGTACTACTAAGGAAATTTTGATAAAGTTTCTAATTTAAACAAGAGATCTCTAAAAAGAATAGCAAGATCACAAATTCTGTTGGTGCCACTTGAAACATACATTGTATTGGTCTGAAAACAGTTAAATCACTAACTTGAGTTATAGATCTATTGTGTGACAAGCTGATTAAAGAGAACCTGAAAGTGTCCTGATTCTGCTAGGGACTAAATGTTTGTGCCATCCCCCCCAAATGTTTGTGCTCTCTCAAAATTCACATTTTGCCATCCTCATACCCACCCAATGTGATGGTGTAAGGAAGTTAGGCTCTGGAAGTGATTAAAAAGGGTGAAGCGCCCATGATGGAATTAGTGTCCTTAAAAGAATGGGAAGAAAGTGGAGCTCTCTCTGCCAAGAAGGCAGAGAGAATACAGCAAGAAGGTAGCTATCTGCAAACCAAGAAGAAGGCCCTTACCAGATACTGAATCTGTGGGCACCTTGATCTTAGACTTCTCAGCCTCCAGAACTGTGAAATAAATGTCTATTGTTAAAATTGCCCAGTTTATGGTATTTTATTATAGCAGCCCAAACTGACTAGTACATTATTCTTTCCTGGGATGAAGTTCATCAAAATAATCAGAACCTACTTTGGCTGTGTGTTCAGATTACTGACTCAGCAATGGAGATGTTATCGGCAAAATGCCATTACCTACACATTTTGGATATTTCTGGTTGTGTCCTGCTTACCGACCAAATATTTGAAGATCTTCAGAGAGGCTGCAAACAACTCCGGATCCTTAAGATGCAAAACTGCAGACTTATTTCCAAGTAAGTGTTCACCTGAATATGAGAAGCTTTGAGAACTACTTTCTGAGAAAACAGTATACATGACTATGGCATTTGTAACACTCCGTGCCTTTCAGACTTAGGAAGTTTCATTTTATATTTTGCCTAATTGAAGCCAACATTTTGAGCTGAGCCAAAGGAAGCTCTCTTCTAAAATGGTCTTTGTGGTTTTATATCCCTGTCCCAGGAGACCTTCTACTTTTAAGCACTTCTCCTTCCTTGACCTTGCAGACGTCCAAATGATCACTAACTCTTCCTCTCCTCTCTCAAAAAATTTCCATTCAGTTAATTTCCCCTGGGGTTAAGAAAATAATTGGATTAAACCAGTTCCCAAATAAATACAAATTACTGTTATCCTAAGCCTCATAACTCCCAAAGCTATTTGCTTGATAGTTGCTATTCATTTAACTGGGGATATCCTATAAGATGTAGTGTGCAGAGGAAAGTATTCTGACTTGACTGTTATGGGCTAAATGCCTGTTTCTTCAATTTGCAAAATGTTTCCAATGAAATAACAGTTGGGTAAATAAGAAATTTTTTAAAGGTTTTTAATATATCTGTTTATTTAGTTCATCAGATTCTTTTGTTCATTAGCTTCTTCTTAAAGAAGACCCTTCAACATTTCCTGTAGTGCTGGTTTGGTAGTGATGAACTCCTTTAGCTTTTTCTTATCTGTGAAGCTCTTTATCTGACTTCAGTTCTAAATGATAGCTTTGCTGGGTAGAGCAATCTTGATTGTAGTTCCATGTTTTTCATCACCTTGAATATTTCTTGACACTCCCTTCTGGCCTGCAAAGTTTCTGTTGAGAAATCAGCTGACAGTTGTATGGGTGCTCCCTTGTAGGTAACTAACTGCTTTTCTCTTGCTGCTTTTAAGATTCTCTCTTTGTCTTTAACCTTTGTCATTTTAATGATGATGTGTCTTGGTGTGGGCCTCTTTGGGTTCCTCTTGTTTGGGACACTCTGTGCTTCCTGGACTTTTAATAAGTCTATTTCTTTCCCCAGGTAGGGGAAGTTTTCTGTCATTATTTTTCCAAATAGGTTTTCAATTTCTTACTCTTTCTGCCTCTTCTGGCACCCCAATAATACGAATGTTGGGCCTCTTGAAGTTGTCCCAGAGGCTCCTTATAGTATCTTCATATTTCTGGATTCTTTTTTCTTTTTGCTCTTCTGGTTGGGTGTTTTTTGTTTCCTCGTGTTCCAAATTGTTGATTTCATTCTCAGCGTCCTCTACTGTTGACTCCCTGTAAATTATTCTGCATTTCAGTTCATGTAGCCTTCATTTCAAATTGGTACTTTATTATGTCATTGATTTTCTCAGTTGTTTTCCTAATCATATGCTTGAGTATCCTTATAAACAAAATTCTGAACTCTGTTAGCTTGCTTGGATCTATTTCATTTAGTTCCTCTTCTAGAGATTTCTCCTGTTCTTTCCTTGTGACATGTTTCTTTGTCTCCACATTTTGGCTGCTTCCAGGTGTTTGTTTCTATGTATTAGGTAGAGCTGCTATGTCTCCTGGAATTTGTAGAATGGCTTTGTGTAGTAGGTGTCCTGTAGGGTCCAGTAGCTCAGCCTCCCCAGTCACCTGAGCTGGGCCTTCTAGGTGCTCCCCTGTGTGGGCTGTGTGCACTGTCCTGTTGTAACTGAGCCTTGGTTGCTGTTGGCATCACTGGGAGGAATTGACCCCCATGCCAATCAGCTGTGAGGACCAACTGCAACTACAGCCAAAGAGCTGCTGTGCTGGAGACACTCCTGTGGAGCTTTGGTGTTCATCAAGTTCTCCCCTTGAGTGTGTCACTGGTGGATGTGGTAGGGTTGTAATCCAGCGTGGTCCATTCTCACCACCAGGTGCACTGTCTCTGGGGCCTCCTGGGAGGCGCAAAGTCAGCCTGTGCCAGTGCCTTACCCAGGGCCACCCAGCATGAGCTACACAGCAAACCGTAGTTGGCTGCTACTTGTGCTGGGCTTGGAGGTGTCCAGGAGAGGCTAAGTTATGAACCAATGCAAGCTGCCGCCAGTGCCAGGCCTGGGGCCACTTATCAGGCTGTATGGGGCACACTGCTGCTTGTTTGAGAGATTTTAGGAAAGTCCTAAGCATGAGGATCGAGAGGCCACTTGCACAGAAAAGCAGCTGGAAATAGCTTGGATGAGCCTGCAGGTAGGGAGGGGCAGGATCCCTGGGAATCACCGGGGCGGGGCCAAAGGTGTGAGTCAGGTGCTGGTGATTCAAATATGGCGCCTGCCTGCCGGATGTGTGCGGGGAGGACTCGCCAAAGGAGCAATGGCCTCTGCCAGCTCTTCTGCCTGGGAGAAAGCTGCCCCTCCAGCTTTTGCCCCACTTTCAGGCAGGTTAGTTCCTCCCCAAGTGTCCCAGGTTTCTTTCAAGCTTCTGCCCAGCGCTGGGGCTCAGAGGGAGCGCGTCTGAGTGAGTCCATGCGNCATTCTCACCACCAGGTGCACTGTCTCTGGGGCCTCCTGGGAGGCGCAAAGTCAGCCTGTGCCAGTGCCTTGCCCAGGGCCACCCAGCATGAGCTACACAGCAAACCGTAGTTGGCTGCTACTTGTGCTGGGCTTGGAGGTGTCCAGGAGAGGCTAAGTTATGAACCAATGCAAGCTGCCGCCAGTGCCAGGCCTGGGGCCACTTATCAGGCTGTATGGGGCACACTGCTGCTTGTTTGAGAGATTTTAGGAAAGTCCTAAGCATGAGGATCGAGAGGCCACTTGCACAGAAAAGCAGCTGGAAATAGCTTGGATGAGCCTGCAGGTAGGGAGGGGCAGGATCCCTGGGAATCACCGGGGCGGGGCCAAAGGTGTGAGTCAGGTGCTGGTGATTCAAATATGGCGCCTGCCTGCCGGATGTGTGCGGGGAGGACTCGCCAAAGGAGCAATGGCCTCTGCCAGCTCTTCTGCCTGGGAGAAAGCTGCCCCTCCAGCTTTTGCCCCACTTTCAGGCAGGTTAGTTCCTCCCCAAGTGTCCCAGGTTTCTTTCAAGCTTCTGCCCAGCGCTGGGGCTCAGAGGGAGCGCGTCTGAGTGAGTCCATGCGCGGGCCCTTTAAGAGGAAAGCCTGGGACTCCTGCACCCTCCATGCATCCCTCAGCCACAGTCCCCGCTGGTTTTCACAGGGCAAAGTTGTGAGGACTTCTCTTCCCGGCCCTGGAGCCCTGGGCTGGGTCCTGATGTGGGGCTGGGACCCCTCATTCCTCCGGGAAACCTCCACTGCCGAGATTCCCTCCCAGGTTTAAACCGCAGCACCGGGAGTGGGCCTGTGATCCAGCCCCGATCTGCCCACATCTCCGCCCCTCCTACAGGTCTCAATGCTTCTTCAGTTCCCTGGTTGTAGGGCTTCTGTTCAGCTAGATTTCAGGAGGCTCTGAGTGATGACTGTTCTGTATTTTAGTTGTAATTTTGATGTGGTTGTGGGAGGCGGCAGGTGCAGCTGTTACCTACGCCGCCATCTTGTTTCCTCTCCCTAAGCAATTTTTAAAGGTAGAAGGTCTAGGGTGTCTACCTTGTGAGTTTTTAAATAGAAAGCAGTTATCTGCTCCATTGTTCAGTTTTTTCCTATTGACTGAGAGTAAACATGCAAGTATTTTAACTGACCTGATGAAGTTACCTGTGTAGTGTACAAAATGAGATTTCTTGACCAATCTCCCAAAGATTCTTTTCTGTAGGCTGGAAAAATGAGTAATATTATCAAAGTATAAAGTGCATAATGTGTTCTAAGCATGTAGATTTCGCAGAGAACTTTTTTTTTTAATCCTCACCTGAGTATATGTTTTTCACTGATTCTAGAGAAAGGGGGAGAGAGAGAAACAGTGATGTGAGAGAGGAACATCTACCAGTTACCTCCCTCATGCAACCAAGGGATTGAACCCGAAACTCAGGTATGTGCCCTGACCAGAATCAAACCTGCGACCCTTCAGTGCACGGGACAACACTCTAACTAACTGAGCCACACCACACCGGTCAGGGCTCAGAGAACTTTTTAATTAAGCAAACCTGGCATGAGCTAAACCATGAAAACTGGTCACTTGAGGCCTGAGGAAGAAAACAGTTTCTGATCCAAGGCTGTGTGTACTTAAATGAAATTAAAACAAAGCAAAAACTTGTACAATAGGTACTCCCTCTGAGCCCCGGACTGTAGGGAGGAAGGGAGGGGGTCAGACAGCCCACTGAAGCTGGGTCAGATAAAAGGGGGCAGGTCCTTGAAAAATTCTGAAGAGAAGTGGTGACTCAGCTCTTCCAGATAGGTATGCAGAGGTCTAGGAATCTGCTGACCTTGCATACCATTAAACAACCAAATTTGGGCAGATGGTAGTGAATGGATAACATATTCAAAGGAGTTAAGCTTCTTATCTTTTGATTGTATTTTGCCAATCATTCTTTGGGAAGTAATATTTTGAACTAATAATTGGGATTCTAACTAGAATGAATGGAGAATTTCTGGCAAGGGCATCACTGAATCTAATCTAGTATGGGATGTTAAAGTGTGTTAAGTAAAGTGTGTTTAGTCAAGAAGACCCAAGATATTTATTAATATCCAAATCCTACCTTCGATTACTCATTCCTCTTGCAAGGTCATTAGATAAAAAATATACTAGGGGGTCCTAATATATGGTGATGGGAGAAGATATGACTTTGGGTAGTGGGCAAACAGTGCAATAGACAGATCTTGTAACATAGAAACCCACACCTGAAGCCTATATATTAACCACTGTCACCCCAATAAATTAAAAAATATGCAAAGAAAACAAAAAGGCAAAATAAAATTTTACTACTGGCTGGACTTGGCTCCCAAAACCCAATGCAAAACTCTAGTTAACTAGCTGGATCTATGGAAAATTCCTTTCCCTAAGCCAGGACAGCCAAAAGGCCACTTTTGCTTTCTACTACCAATCCCAGTTGTCCTTTTCAGCAAGAAGCAGAGATTTAGCCCTAAAGCCTAGAGGGGAGCTGGCTTATCTGCCCATCTCATTGTCT